ACAACTTATTGATCAAGTGTGCTAACTGTAACATCTGATATATATACATATATATATATATATACAACTTATTGATCAAGTGTGCTAACTGTAACATCTGATATATATACATATATATATATATATACAACTTATTGATCAAGTGTGCTAACTGTAACATCTGATATATATACATATATATATATATATACAACTTATTGATCAAGTGTGCTAACTGTAACATCTGATATATATACATAATATATATATATACAACTTATTGATCACGTGTGCTAACTGTAACATCTGATATATATACATATATATATATATACAACTTATTGATCACGTGTGCTAACTGTAACATCTGATATATATATATATATATATATAAAAAATATTTATGTATATTATTTCTCGGTTGTTTTTAGATTAGCTTATTAGTTTCTTTGTTATATCTATACGTTTGCTTGTTTGTTTCGGATACTAGTTCAAAGCTACACAGAGAGCTGTCTGCACCTAGTCCTAATTTTTAAAGTGCTAGAATTTTGGGCACCTATCCCTCCCTAATTTATAACTGATAGACTTTTGGGCACCTATCCCTCCCTAATTTTGATCTCGTAAACCTTCGGGCTCCTAGCCCTCCATAATTTATACCCGATTAGTCCTTTCGGTACGTAGCCCTCCCTAATTTATAACTGATAGACTTTTGGGCACCTATCCCTCCCTAATTTTGAACTCGTAAACCTTCGGGCTCCTAGCCCTCCATAATTTATACCCGATAGTCTTTCGGTACGTAGCCCTCCCTAATTTATAACTGATAGACTTTTGGGCACCTATCCCTAAATTTGAACTCGTAAACCTTCGGGCTTCTAGCCCTCCCTAACTTAGAACTGATAAACTTTCGGGCACCTAACACTTTCTAGTTTTGAACTGACAGACTATCGGGCATGCAGATAGCCATGAACACCGAACGTCAACTCTTGGACTACTCTAATCGATTAGGGGGATTTTGCCGTCACTCTTATAACACACCCACACTCCCTAAGAGAGCGGAGCGCGATTTCGTAGTAACGGGACGCGAATCACGAACCTTCGAATATACAGTCCAGCATGTTAACAAGTAGGCCACTCCCAATCCAATAGTATTAGTTGTCTTCTTTTCTGTTTCTCAATAGACACTGTAGAAACGTCTACTGACACGTTGATAAGTGGACAACCCCTGGTTACCAGCCACCTAGCTGCATTCTGATAGAACTACAAACATTTGAAAGGTTAATAATGGATGACTATCAGTCTTCTAGATATTCATCAATTGGTTGGAATTTCACACAAAGCTACTTGAAGGACTATCTCCGCTAGCCGTCCCTAATTTAGTAGTGATGGACTAGAAGAAAGGTGGTGGTCAACATCACCCACCGCCAACTCTTGGGCTACTCCTTTACCAATGAAGGGATTGACCGTCACATTATAACGTCCCCACGGCTGAAAGTACGAGCATATTTGGTGATGGAGATTCGAACCTGCGACCCGGAGATTGCGAGTAGAGCGCCCCCTAACCATCAGGCCAAGCCAATGTTTATCAAAATAATTCTATTATGAACACAAGTGTGAACATTTTAACTAGGAAAAGGCGCGTATAAGAAATCCTAATTATGAAGAATAAAATATAGCTTACCATGATAACAAATTCGTATTGTCTTCACATACACTATCATTATAACACCTAAAAAAAGAAAGCTTAAATCCCAATCGTTAGGGAAGACAGGTCGTCAAGTTAATTATATTGATTCTTAGGTCGAAAGTTTCCTTACGCTAATAAACTAACAAACAAAACAAAATGAAGTCCTCTGGTGAGTCAGCGGCAAATTTACAACGTTAGGATCAGGTAATCAATTCTCAGCGATGGACAGAGAGCAGGTATCCCACTGTTTGGGTTTGCGCTAAAACAAATAAACACATGTTTAAAACTTTAAAATTGATTAATCACATCCGGTGTAATGAAGGATCAGAAAGAAGTTCATAAAATTAATGTTTAAAGACATAAACAACATTTTGATCCCCTCCCTTCACCTCCACTGTCATTTCATTCCACCCATAGGGCTGGCAGGTCAGTAAAGGTTTAATGTGTGAGATGATAACAATGGTTCCTTATATTTTAATATAATATTTTTATTGGCATCGATTATCCAACTAAGTGATTAAATTAGTTTTCCTTTTGTCTTTGCAACAATAATACTTAAAATTTGGAAGTATTAAGTATGAAAGGATTAAAACCTGACATTAATAACAAATCAGGAGTACCAATATATTGGTATTAAGCCATTTACATTAAAAAACACAGATGGAGCTACTATAGTTTCCCCGAAAAAGGGGGCCGAAGACCGCTTGGAAGAGTCATCTGTTTTAGCCTCTTGTACCATCATACAGTAGTGAATTGTCTGTCAGTCAGTCAGTAGACACTAAAATGACGTCACAAAAGGAACGCTTAACGTTTCAATTATGCCCTGTCGTGACTTCAGTAAAACTTGCGCATGCCACGAATCACGAGAAGAATTATTCACTCTGCAGGCTACAACACAGCATGGCATATGAACTTCAAAAGCAAGAAATATAAACACAATTATTTGATTGGACATATTAATAATACATTAAGGAATACATTAATAATGCTTCTTGTTCGATAATTAAGTTGGTATCTTCTAAAAAGAAAGTAAGGAATACATTAATAATGTTTCTTGTTCGATAATTAAGTTGGTACCTCCTAAAAAGAAAGTAAGGAATACATTAATAATGTTTCTTCACCCCATTGGTTTTTTTTTTTCATTCTCTTGAAAACAGCAAACGGAACAAAAAAGGGGTATTTAAAAAAAACAGAACCAAAAACCGTATATGTTTATAAACAGGGCAAAAAAGAAAGTCGTTATTTTAAAAGACTTAAAACACTAAAGCCCATAATTCAAAGTTGTTAATTAAGCACTTCACAACAAATAATTATTTTATTGTTCTTCCCATTACTATTATAAGAAATTCTCAGAGAATACTTACATCAAAAGTGAAAATCAACCCGGTAAAGAATATATATATATATAGCTAATTAAAATACTGTTCTTACGTTCTTAATTAAAAATATCAGAATGTATAATTCCACCAGGTGGGTACCCTTGCTGTTAACTATACTTTCGGCCGTAATTCTAATATCATGCTAATAAGTTTATTTATCATCTTAAGTAAAGAAGAAAAACACTCAATTATGAATTACTTCAGTTTTTTCTTTCTCTCTCTCTCTCTTTTAGAATTCCATCCGGCACAATTTGTCACTGAACAAGAGTTTCGTCAAAGTTCCTCGCAGTAAGGATGAGCCTGGAAAGGGAGGATTTTGGATATTAGACCCAAATTACTCGAAATCACTGGTAGATGGAGTCTTCAAGAAGCGTCGCTCGACCCAAAAGCAGACAAACAGCGTGTTTGTAAAGAAATCTCGAAAAGATAGAGGCACCAAAAACTTGACCGAGGTCCGGAAACGATCATTACCAAACGTCGTTCAAGACACCCCTCCATCGTCGGCAGGCGCAGGTAGAGAAGCTGATAACCTCGTTCTCAGTGTAGGAGGTTTAAGAGCAGCGTCCACACCTTCACTTTCTCCTGTAGTGAACATGGAGACTATTAACTACACTCTAGACATTCCCAACGGACCAGAGACTTCACAACATAATGACGTGGAAATTCCTTTTCCAAATCAAGGTAAGACAGATATGTACACCATAGGCGAAAGTGTACAGGATGACCTCAACGTTCTTCTAGATTACCCGTACACCGACTTAGAAACGCTTCAAAAGTTTCAATCTTCAGAAGATGCAGCTGGCGAGAATCAAACTCGACCACTGATCCTAGATGACGACTTCTTCCCTCCCGAGATAAACGATTCTCCTCTTCCCAATGATTTAGACCTTTCATCTACGCCAACAGCAGAAACGTTTCAGTTTACTGACCAGGTTACAAATCTCTTTTCTTCCGATTGGTGGTCAAGCTTCCAGCAAACTCAGAATGATCTTCTATGTCTGACGCCATCTTTGCTCAATTTCTCGCTGCCGTCCTCATCTTCATCCAAACCCAATCAACTCGGAGAGGGTTCGAATGTTCTATATCCAACAGAGTTGTGTCTACCAGCAAGTCCTTCTTGTGCAGGTTTTGACCACCAGATGGCGCTAGAGGAAACGAGTAATCAACCCTGGGCCGACTGCAAAGCCGCTCTAGAAGCTGCTGCCCTCGACCTGGAGAGTTTTAACGACTATGATGCTAGTCATGTTTTTTAACGCCTTCTTCTGGAGGAATTTTTAAATATTTTAAGTAGGTTTTGTAACTTTGTGAGCTGATTGGGTGAAATGTCTTGTCACCTTAAAAACATATCGTAGCCAGATGTAAAGAACACTGAAGACACGAACTACGAACTTTAGTGTAAGTATAGCGAGATTATGAATAGGACAAAACAAAGCTAGAAGAACATTCTAACAGGACTTACAGAAGAAAAAAAAACGTTTAGCTTAATCGTGCTATTTTGTTGTGTAGCTCACATTAATGTTTGAGTAACATTCTGATTAAACACTGGTGAATTGTGTTCATCTAGAAACACGTATGCACAAGAACTACTGAGGAAAAACGCCTTTAGACTATTTATGTCCACAATTGTTTAGTTATTGTAACTTTGAGAAAACTTCATATAACATTTTTGTGATATTCATTTTCAGTTCTACCATGATTTAAAATCAAATAACTAGTATAGGTAGAACTAATATCAGTATTTGGCAATGAATTTTTTTTTTGATAAACTTACATGTAACTGTCAGTTTTTTTCACACAAAAGTTTGTCGGATGTACATTGTCAGACGTTTAATTATTTTATTCACAATGTTTCACAAGGCAACA